TTTAATGTACATTAAACCTACACATCTGCACTTATCACAACATTTTACACCACCACAGGCATATGGCTAAACAACAAGGCTCATGGTTGTGCATAAGGGGTGTAGCGTTCTGTCCCGACTCCCACAGGTAAACAAGTGGCAGTCTGTTAGAGGTTGCCTATGGGGTCTCTGATACACTATATGGGTGGGTGCTTAACTTCGTGGTGTGTTTTCTGTGTATCTGCTAAGGCCACGTCCCAGCGCATTGTCTTTACATTGCCCAAGGCTCTCTTCTGAGGTCTCAGGCACCTGTTCCTTAGGGTATATACTTATGCCCCTTCTGTTAGGTGTACCATTTTAAGGATACTCACAAAATAAGCCTATAGGTTGCGTCAGTCCTTCATGCTTCTATGATTAAAATGTATTTTTTTCCAGGGTTGATTAAATTCTTTTTTAGTTTTGCATAACTCTGAAACTAATATTAGAAATGTAACTACAACTCTTTAATTTTTTTTATTTTAATTCCTTAGACTCCTTTGAGAACACCACTGAGAGTGAAGGATGAGAATGGAAATGATCCCCCGGTGAGTCTATAATATCTTCAAAGAACACAAAGAATTTTCATTTGAAAACATGAATCAGTTGAATTAATTAAAAACATGAAACATAATCATCCTCACTCTGATTTTTTTGCAGACGACACATTCCCATCGTTTCACAGTAAAATTTAAACCGACAGATCGTAAAGAGTACACCATCGATTGCGATAAACCACGTTCAGTCTTGGAGGCAATCAAACACAGTCTTGGCCCAACAAATATGCTGAATTTTCCAGATGAGAACATCATCATTCAGTTGGGTAAAGAGGACAAGGACTCCGTGGTTCCAACACATTTCCCTTGTTCTTGTGTTGGTGATGGGGAGACACTAATTATTAATCATAGTAAATCAGAAAAGATTGAAGAAGTTCAAGATCAGCATGACAAAACCATACTGCCAAAAGAGAATTATTCCGTCTTCTTCATTGATAAAGTTGGGGGTCTCAAAACCAAAACAAAAGATTTGTTCAGAAGCAAAATGATTAAGCAATTCAAGTATCTCTGCGTTTATGGGGAAAAAGGGATGACGGTGGAAGAGGCTCTGAAGCGCGATGGTCGGTTCATTGACAATCTTGGAGAATTTACCCTGTCTGATAACGAAAACCCAGACGTCCTCACTCTGCGCACACAAAGGGTAGACAGCCTCCACCAGAAGGCTTTCAAGATACGTCTTCCGCTTAATAAATGGGAAAATGTTGAAACACAAATGAGGTCAATCCTAGATGTCGCTCGTAACAGTGGAAAAAGTGTTAGAAAAGTAATGGAAGAGCCGACCAGCAGCGTTAACACTGCTGAGATTTACCAACTGCTGCGTCAGCAGTTCCCAGATCTTAAAGAATGGATGGAGAAGAGATTCCCTGCTGATTCCTACCAAGAAGCTCTCAAACTTAAGAATGAGAATTTTGGAAAGATCCAACAGTCTTTCAGCGAAGTTCATAGAATCAGGAAGTTGCTGAAAATGGGCCAGTCTGTCTGTAAAGTCATTATTTCTGGTTTTTCCCAGGGAACTGGCTTCGTGCTGTTTGATAGGTTGATCTTGACCAGTGCACATTTGTTCAAAGGATGCGTCCAAGGAAAAAACATTCTGGATCATATAAACGTCTCTGCTCTATTTAACTATGATGATCCTGAGCCAGAGACAAATTACTTTTATTTCTCTGCTGAGAAAACATTTATCGACATTGATGATGAGCTAGATTATGCTGTACTCATGCTTGAACCAGGGGGCCAAAAATCCAACCCCAAAACGAATGTAGATAATGTAAAAGTTCCTCCAGGGCTGCTCAACAAATTTGGTTCTCTACCTATGAATGGCGAGGCCTGTATTATTGGCCACCCAGCAGGAGGAGTAAAGAAAATTGATCCAACATGCATCATTGAGCCAAAGGGGAGAGAACAAGCTGTCAATGATCATATAGCCAAACACAAAGATTCAATGTTCATCCTCCAATCAGTGTTTCAAATCCAGAATCGAGGCATTGAGGACATAATGATGGGTGGAGACAAAGCAGAAAAGGTGGCTACCTACCACACCTTCATGTATCACGGAGCATCTGGCTCTCCAGTGTTTGATGCCCATGGCAGGCTCTTTGGGATTCACACAGCAGGTTATTGTTATGAGCTCCCACACACGAAAGGCAGCGTTATTGAGTACGCCTATCCTCTGCTCACTATATTTGAAAAGTTTGTGAGCAATCTGAAGGAAAGTGGAAATGTTCAGATGCTGGAAAAGGTGAAGGAGGCAGCAACAGAGAATCAGCACCTTGACAAAATACTCCAGTTTGAACCAATGGAGGTCAATTAGACTGACTGTAGAAATGCTAGAGCTGCAGATTTAGTTTTAACAGCTGTGGCCCTACAAATACTCAGAAAATTTTTAAAAACCAAACAATTGTCCATTTATTGGCTTAATATTTACATTTTTACAGAGAGGCATTCATGTGTGTGTGTGTGTGTGTGTGTGGGGGTGGGGGGTTATACCTTACACATTTCCTAGTTTACATTTAGACAGAAAAACCAAGAGTACCCAGGAAGATACGTAAATGCATGGAGAAAACATCATACTTCTTTCAGGAAGGTAATTGTCAGGAATAAAAACCAGAACTAATTTACTGGGCTGATTTTGTTTCATCCAGTGAAATTGCCACCTGAGTCTTGAACAGGAATAAAAACCCATCATAAAATAAATTACCTAAATTAATCAAAGATAATCTTCCTTCCAAAGAAAAATTTTCTTCCATTTCTCCATTTTATCCTAACAAGATCACCGCTATCCCTATTTCTACTATTGGGTGAGAGACACTAACATCCTGGTTGGGTTGCTGGTTAAGACTCCAGGTTTTTTACCACTTTTATTTTACCTACATACACATTAGTTTTGGGGGGTTGTGCCTTACGTTGCTTTAATCAGTTTCATTTTAATTCAGCACTGCTTTATTAATGCCAAAGGAGAAATAAATGCAGTAACACATTTTATTTTCAATTATTTGTTGTAGATGTTAATTGCTGAAGGCAGGAAGGATCTTCTGTGGTGTCTGTCTTAAGGCCAGAACACACTGAATCCGATTTAGTGTCCGATCCGCCAGAAAATCGTGTCAGATGAGGTTGTGACGTTTAGTGCCCATTGAAAGTCAATTGGGATGATCACAACCGACATAATTTTACACAAAGGGGCTTGCATAGCACATCTGACTGAGATAGACCCCAGGTGTGTTTTAGTCGGAACTACACATCAATTAGTCGGCAATTTCATGAGTCTGACCAGAACATGTTGACAAAGTAAAACTAATCTGCTTTGGGTGAAAATACAAAATAAAATATGTTAATCGCACGGGGAAAGAATCATTTTTGGAGTGGCACATTGCCTATATAGTAAGCGGGACAGATTAATTTAAAACAATGAATGAAAGATTAAAAAAAGAATACGATAGTTTAAGAGGACAGAAAACAGATAAAGTAGTGATCCTCTATGAGTCTCAAAGAAACGAGGGACAGACAACGCAGTTTATCAATCTCCCCAGTAATTTAAGTAATTTGCGCTGATGCTGATTTGTTTTGGGGTATTTTCATGCTGATCAGTGTCTCAGTGAAATAACAGTTTCTGTTTGGCTTTTTTTAAAATATCTAATAGTATTAATGTTTTTTATCAAAACAAATAATAAAGAACTATAAAACCAATCAGGTAATTTGATCCCCACTCCTCCAGCAAAGTGGAACAGAGACATTTTCGCTTTCTAATTCCATTCAAATAAGTCATGGACTACTCTTTGTCCTTCTTTAAATAGTTTAAATTTGGATCAATCTATGTTTATTAATGACATCCATCCTTTATATCCATCCCTTTTCGGTCAGGTAGGACCACAGATTAACTTACGCTAAATCTGGCAACGAATCTTGTTCTACACAATATAAAATAAGTGGACACAACCAGTCCAAGAGTCACCTTATCTGCAACCTTTAGCTGCTGCTCAAATTATTTAAAAGCTTAAGAGATTTTAGCACAATTTATTCCCAACAATTTTCATAACTTTTGTTTTTTACTTTTTCATTTCTACATTTTAATCAAATATAATCAACAACCTACATAGATCTTTGCTTATTTTACAGAGTTGGTGGATTTCTAACTATACTTCAGTTTATTGTTGCACTGTGTGATTATTTTATTGTAAACTAGAGATCGACTGATACTGACTACTTTCCTGATACTGACATTAACATCAGTCTAACTGATCACCGCTATGTGCTGCAGACATGTTTTGGACAATTCTGAGAGCAGATATTTATTTTCCTGCATTAACATAATCAAAATGGCACAGTCATAGAAAAAAAATGACAAAAATCTCAATTAAAAGAAAAAAAAAGATTGTTAATGATTAACCAACTAAACATTAACAATGGATAGTAAATGTAGGGGAACAGTAAAGCATTTGCTTTACGTGATCTAAAGGCATGGCTGCTGAATGTAATAACGAATGGGCCAACCCATGCACATATCAAACTGTACAGGAAAGAATCACATTATTTGATTATTTGACAGCCGATGTATCGTCTATCTCTATTGTAAACAATATTAATGTTCTATCATCATTTGAAGTTAAAGCACAACCCAATAAAAAGCATTTCTAACCTTTGTTAAAAAAATGTATGTTACCTCTGTTACATAAAGACTAAAAACGTGTAATAAATACTGTACTTCTCTTTATTCAATCAGACTCCATTTAATGTCTGTAACTGAATAAAAATTCTGTACTGGTAAATTAAAGTAAAAAACATTTCCATGGGTCTGACTTTTTTTTACCTGCTTTGGTTTCATTACTGAATTCCTTTGAAGATTATTGTTTTCAAAAGTCATACCAGTTCTACCAGGCAGACTTAATCTCCCAGGCTGAGCTGTTTCGCATCCTCAATTGGCTTTTTTTTTGCCCTCTGATTGTTAGTCATGTTTGACTTCACCTGGTTGATGAATTTTATGCTGTTTTTTGCTTGTTTTTTTTTTTTCTACATCACTTTTAATGCACTTTCTTAATAAAGTGTTTTAAAATTAAGTGTCCTCTACGTTTTCTTGTGCATCATGCTTAGTCTCATTGTATTATGTAATTGTCATCTCCTTCTTCATCTGAGTCGTGGGGGCAGCAGTCTCAGAAGATTCCCAAACCTCCTTCTCTGCAGACACCTTTAGCTCCTCTTGAAGAAGCCTTAAGGTGCTTCCAGGCCAGAGGGAGAGAAACAGTCCCTCAGTCATGTCCTGGGTCGTCTACTAGCCCTCTTTCTGGTGGGACGTGCCTGGAATACATCCTGAGGGAGGCGTTCAGGGAGAATCCAGAAAAGATGTCCGTACCACCCCTTGATGTGGAGAAGCACCTCTACTCCATGCCTCTCCAAAATGACTGCACCTCTCACCCTCTAAGGGAATGCCCAGCCATCCTGAGGACAACTCACATCCCCAGAGCAAGATTAAGCATCGGTGGATTGAGTTGTCGAGGCCTCCACTTCTGTGCTGCCCAATCCTTTCTTCACTGGTTTCTCCTGATTCCCCCTGCAGGTGGGGAGATCACCGGGAGATTGCTTACACCACTCCTTTGGGATGGGCCCAGCCTGGTCAAGAAAGAACCCAACCACTAGGCACTAAAGCCCCTTCCACACGAAGTCAAAACGAACACGAAACGCTGATATTTTCCAAAACGTTTGCCGTAAAGACGGAGACGTAAAATAAATGTGAATGTGAGCGTCCACACGAATGCATGAAAACGCTGCAAAATGTATGCCAGGCCTGTAAGTGGCGCTGTGGTGCCAAAGCAAAAATAAGCGACGAAATGTTGG